CGGAGCTTGTCGATCAGAAGATCGGCAGTTCAGCGGTTTGAATCCCTAGCGTCGCTTAACTGAGTGAGCTCCTGTTAGGGGAGCTCTGCCAACCTAGCAGTTTGAAAGCACGTAAGAAATGCAAGTAGAAAAATATGGACCCTCTTTGGTGGGATGGTAACAGTGGTCTGTGCACCTTCGGCGTTGAGTCATGCCGGGCACATGACCACGGAGGCGTCTTCGGACAGCGCTGGCTCTTCGGCCTTAAAAGGGAGATGAGCTCCGCCCCCTAGAGTCAGGAACAACTAGAACATATGTGCAAGGGGAACCTTTACCTTTACCTTGTAAACCTTTTGCTAGGATCACATACCAAACCTCGGTAAAGCACAGAGAAGCAGTTGCAACCTTAAAAATTTGAATCTCCCTAGCAAAAAATCCTTGAATTTTTCCCTGTAAGTTTCCATTCCCACAGCTAGAAAATGTGGCATTTGACGGCCAGGTAGGTTTCTTTGCTTGCAGGAAGGATAAATTGTATTCTCAGTTAAGTCTCCCACTTTTCAGTCTAAGAGCTTACTTAGGTATTATACAGAGGCTAATCGATGTTAAGTGCCCATCTCTCTCAAACCGTAAACATGCTGCAAAGTGGATTTAATCGGTGATCAAAGATGAACAGGAGAAAACGGAGGCATACAAGATTTTTTTTAAAAAGTTTGTTTTTCAGGCAAGAGGGGAATTTTTTTAGTGGTCTTCTACTCCAGGAGACTTATGAGACACATAGGGAGGAAAGGGAACTGCCTATTCCAGGGGTCAGCAACCCACGGCTCTGGAGCTGCATGTGGCTTTTTCATCCCTCTGCTGCGGCTCCCTGTCACCAGTCGGCTCCACAATTGATAGGGCTTTTGGTTAGGACAGGTAGAGGAAAAAGGATGCAGCGCTAGGAGGAGACTCTATGGTGGGGGTACCGGACTTCTGGTTGGCAGAGGAAAAAGGACGCCACGCTGGGAGGAGAGACTATGGTGGGGGAACCGGACTTCCGGTCAGCTCCAGAATTGAACAGGGGACTTCTGTTTACGACCTTTGAGTGTTTAAGGTTGCCGATCCCAGGCCTATCCTAATGAAGAGAAGGGTTAAGATACATGATAGGTATTTTCTGGTACTTGAGGGGCTGTCTCAGAGAAGAGGGGGTCGATCTCTTCTCCAAACCACTTGAGGCCAGGAAAAGAAGCTATGGGTGGAAACTAATCAAGGAGAGATCCAACCTAGAACTAAGTAGCCATTTCCTGACATTGACATATCCTTCCGTGTGTCTTTGTGTTTGACTGTGAATATGTGTGCGTTAAACACATAACTAAGACATATTTAATATGAAACTTCAGATCTGCATTACAGAGCACCATAAAGCTATTTTGGGGCTCTTTTTGAAATTCAATAATTTAAACATATTTCTTCCCTTTAAATGCTGGTGGTTATACTATTTGGTTAATCCCAAAGGCAATTATAATATTCTAGCCACAAAGATAAAATACTGTATTTTCTCAGGTATCCCTGAAATAATAAAAATGGGATTTAATTATGTCTCTAGTGCCTGAAGTTTTTTCCCCCTTCTTCTTAGGCTTAGCCAACATGCTTTCCTCACTACATTTGTAAGGTGTTTTTTTTTTAAAAAAATATTCTTTCTTACGGTGGAACCTGAGACTGCATATCAGTTCTCAATTTCTGGGCCTAGGCTGTCTTTCCAAAGCCTTTTCTCCCATCCTGGTTGTCTCCTAAGTCGAGGGATTCTCCAGCAGTGACTATCCTGATTTTGATCTTCCCTTACAGGAAGCAGAAAATACCCTGCGGCTGATGCAAAATAAGCTGAAGGAGGAAGAGAAACGTTTGCTGAAGAGTGGAAGTAAGTTACGGATCCCGTTGCAACTGGTATGCTGCGCACAGGGCTGGATGTTCTAGTCAGGCAAGCACACTGCGCATACAGGCGCATGCCACCACCCTGCAACACCTAGCTGCTCGGTGGAGGTTGCGCATGCTTTGCGCACCTGCACAATTGGCACGGTTGCTTCAAAAACAGGCAAGGAATGCAGGTGAGCCAAATGAGCCACCGTTCCGGTACGGTGGCTGCTGCTCCCGGCTACCACCAGTACGGCCGTACCGAGCCGTACCGCCCAGAACCCACCACTGGTTCAGCGACTTCCAAGTAGTTTCTTTATTGTTGCTCGCTGAGAGACAGACTAAAACTATCTGCATAACTATAGACGAGCTCTATGAACTGCTAGGGAGTATCCATCTTTGCCTTCTTCCTGACTACCAGACAATCCAAGTTCCACTTCCTCTTTGCTCTCTGGAAAGCAGCCCTTCCCATCTGGGAATCCAGACTACATTCCATCACACCTGTGACACCCCTCCATCTATACCACCACCCTTGTTTCAACTAGCAGAAAGGCAATTAAATGAAACACGTTCATTGAACATTTTTCGCTTTCTCTCACATTGTTCTCAAATGACAAAAGTGTTGGCTTTTAAAGTGATTCTTTGGGCTTCCCTCAAAGCTTTTGAGGACCACAGGAAGCCCTGGGATTTCCGATGACACATTTGGCTTTTAATCCAATATACTTAGGTTGGAAATTTCAGCTTGCAGAAGATACGTCAGCAAGGAAATGTACAGTCATTGCTCGTTGAACAGATAGACCTCGATTGCACAATGGTTAGAGTGCAGTACTGCAGGCTACTTCTGCTGACTGCTGGCTCCCAGCAGTTTTGCAGTTCAAATTTCACCAGGCTCAAGGTTGACTCAGCCTTTCCATCCTTCCGAAGTGGGTAAAATGAGGACCCAGATTGTTGGGGGCGATAGGCTGACTCTGTAAACCGCTTAGAGAGGGCTGTGAAGCACTGTGAAGTGGTATATAAGTCTAAGTGCTATTTCTCTTCCTTTTCCTTCCCTTCCTTCCTTCCTTCCTTCCTTCCTTCCTTCCTTCCTTCCTTCCTTCCTTCCTTCCTTCCCAGTGGTTAGAATGCAGTATTGCAGGCTAACTCTGCCCACTGCCAGCAGTTTGATCCGGATAGGCTCAAGGTTGACTCAGCCTTCCATCCTTCCAAGGTGGGTAAAATGAGAACCCAGATTGTTGGAGGCAAGAGGCTGACTCTGTAAACCACTTAGAGAGGGCTGTACAGCACTGTGAAGCCGTATATATAAGTGCTATTGCTATATCTCACTTTCTGGATCTAGTCAGGATTGAACTTGACCTTTTAGTAACATTATTTCAGCTCATGTCAATTAATTAACCATTTAAGTAATCCAGGTTTATAGATGAGTCCACCAAAGTTGCTATTCTCACCACAAAGTTTATCGTCCTGTTTTTGCATGCCTAAACATTTGTGATCTAAAACACCACAGTGAAAAGCTGCATCTGTTAATTCTCATTCATTCCCTCAATCTTTGATTTGATTTATTTCCTGCAAGAGACACCTTAAAATCTGGAATGAAAAACGGATAATCCTCTTTCTTCCTTGTCACTCCTTGATCAAATCTGTCTGTTGGAACATATCCCTTCAAGCAGGATGCAATTAAGCTGGACATATTTATAATAAGTAACAGCATAAATTATTAACATAATAGCTTTTGACTGGAAAAAATTAGTGGTAGATTGGAATAATTTATCTGGGAGTTTTTCCAACCCTTTTGACTCATCTTAAATAAGACGTCAGCAAAGACCCTGTGGATAAATCACCTGGGCAATTTTAATATCTGCCAAGCAGAGTGAACTAGAATTGAACAGAAGGTCTCTAGGGGAGCAATTGAGGAAATTAAGACATATTATAATTCTTGTTGATTTTCCATTGGCTTGTGGCTTTCTTCGGTTCCATGCCTTTTTTTTTTCTATAATACAGAAACTAAAGTTTCTACGCTGATAGTATCAGGATTACCTGAAGTGATCACAATGCATCCAGGATTGCTCGCCATGATGTAAAAAAGATGTGGAGACTCTAGAAAGAGTGCAGAGAAGAGCAACAAAGAGGATTAGGGGACTAGAGGCTAAAACACAGGAAGAACAATTGCAGGAACTGGGTATGTCTAGTTTAATGAAAAGAAGGACCAGGGGAGACGGATAGGAGTCTCCCCAATATCTCAGGGGTTGCCACAAAGAAGAGGCAGTCAAAGCACCTGCCCTCAGGTGCTTCTCCAAAGCACCTGAGGGCAGGACAAGAAGCAATGGGTGGAAACTAATCAAGGAGAGAAGCAACCTAGAACTAAGGAGGAACTTCCTAACAATGAGAGTAGAATAGAATAGAATAGAATAATGGAATGAAGGATAGGATAGGGATAGTATAGAATCGAATATTAGAATGAAGAATAGAATGGTGGAATGAAGGAGAGGAGAGGATGGGATATTGGAATGAATGGAATGGAATACAATACAGTACAATACAATACAATACAATACAATACAATACAATACAATACAATACAATACAATACAATACAATTCTTCATTGGCCAAGTGTGATTGAACACACAAAGAATTTGTCTTTGGTGCAGATGCTCTCAGTGTACGTAAAAAGACAAAATACATTCATCAAGAATCATAAGGTGCAACACTTAATGATAGTCATAGGATACAAATAAGCAACCAGGAAACAATCAATATCAATATAAATCGTAAGGATACAAGCAACAAAAGTTACAGTCCTGCAGTCATAAATGGGAGGAGATGGGTGATAGGAATGATGAGAAGACTAATAGTAATAGCCATGCAGACTTAGTGAATAATTTGACAGTGTTGCCTCCAGTAGTTGTGGGTGTTCCATCACTGGAGGTTTTAAGAAGAGACTGGACAGTCATTTGTCCGGAATAGTCTAGGATCTTCTGCTTGAACAGGGGATTTGACTAGAAGACCTCCAAGGTCCCTTCCAACTCTGTTGTTCTGTATTCTATTCTGTAAGTTACAGAACTAATGACCGGCTTCAAACTGGTTTGTTCGATCTAAATGGACAACTGTCCTGCACAATGAAGTCCAAAGGCCCTTTCCTCTTTGAAGCTTGATTTTAAATAGCAAAACCCTGGAAATATTGGCAGGGAAGCTGGAGATTGTAGCTCGGTGCATTCAGAGGGGCAACAGATTGTAAGGAATTTGATATATTTTAGATCAGGGGTATCCAACCTTGGCAACTTTAAGATCTGTAGACTTCAACTCCTAGAAGTCCTCAACCAACAAGTCCACAAGTGGTCCAAGTTGGACACCCCTGATAGAGATGAAATATTTCTTTTTTCAAATCTCAACCTGTTGCACGCACATAAATTTGGAAAATAAATATTCAATCTATATCAGAGGGTGTCCAACTTTGTCAAGTGATCTATTGCAAATGCACAAACATCTACCAAGTGAAGCTTCTGAATGTCTTAACTAAAGGTTTGAGGAAATTTGGGGGTGAATAGTTTCCTTCCTTGGAGCTGAGCTCTTCCCATTTCTTACTCCTCATTTCTTTAATATTTCTTTCACTGTAGCCTAGGGGTGTCAAACTGAAGGCTCTGGAAGCCAGATCCAGCCTGCCGGGTGCTTAGATCTGGCAGGGTGTGCTGGATACAACAAAAGGACCAGCTCATGGTACCTCTGCTAGTGAAAACAGAGTTTGGAGAGCTATGTGAGACCCTCCTTTTGCAGAGAGTAGCAGGAGGCCGTTGCAGCTGAAAACAGAGCTCAGGAGCCTGTTTTCAGCGGCAGAGCGCTCGGCACCCCGACTCGAGTGACGTTGAACTGACCATGCCCACCTCAGCCCACCCAAGACCAAAGACAACCCTGATGTTGAGTTTGAAATGAAATTGAGTTTGACACCCCTGCTGTAGCCATTTTGGGTAGGCAAAGAAATAGTCTGCTTGGTTTACTTATATTTCTGCTGGGAAAAAAATCCTAAATGAAGAGCGCTAACAGGCCTAGGGGAGAAGAGGCAGATGGGAGACCCGTTCAGAGTTCTTGCATTTTAAGAAGGTTTGGCGGATTTCATTCCCATCGCCTTAGACTAACAGTCAAAAATTAGCATTTGCCTAAGGCCACGAAATAAGGCTCTGAGAGAAGTGCAAGGAAACCAGGCACATCAAGTGCCGGATTTGAAATTTTCCCCTGGTGCAATCATTATCTCGGCTCCTGCACCGCTCCTTCTTATCACAGACATCCTTTTGGGTTGTTTATTTGTTAGCAAAATGCTGTAAGGATTGGGGCAGGGGGGGCTAAGTTCCAGAGTTGGCCATTCAAAGGAACGTCTCACAGATTTGAAGCTCCAGCAAAGAGCAGCATCGGAGTACCAGGGCACCGCCGTCCAAGGAAACAGGCAGGCTCTCTGGAGATGCAAAGCACATTTTGTTCTTTGCCAGAAGCAGAAAAAGGGGCATATAGAATAGAATTCTCTATTGGTCAAGTGTGATTGGATACACAAGGAATTTGTGTTCAGTGCACAAGCTCTCTCAGTGTACATAAAGCTATAAGTGATAAATCACGATCATAATCATCGTAAAAATACATTCATCATAAATCATAAGATACAACACTTAGTGATAGTCATAGGATACTAAATAAGCAATCAACATAAATCTAACCAGGAAACTAAATTAAACAATATAAATCATAAAGATACAAGCAACAAGGTTATAGAAGGAGATAAGTAAGAGGAAGCAGGAGAATAATAATATTAATACAGTCTTAGTAAATAGTTTGACAGTGTTGTAGGAATTAGTTGTTTAGCAGAATTTATGGCATTAGGGAAAAAGCTGTTCTTGTGCCTAGTTGTCTTGGTGGCAGTGCTCTATAGCATCATTTTGAGAGAAGGAGTTGAAACAATTTATCTCCAGGATGCGAAGGGTCTGTAGATATTTTCACAACCCTCTTTTTGATTCGTGTAGTATGCAGGTCCTCAATAGAAGGCAAGTTGGTAGCAATTGTTTTTTCTGAAGTTCTAATTATAAGGAGAGGGAGAAAGATGAGAGAGAGAGAGAGAGAGAGAGAGAGAGAGAGAGAGAGAGAGAGAGATGAGAGAGAAAAGAGAAAAGTGATAGATGAGAGAAAGAAGAGATGCAAAAGAGATGAGAGAGAAAAGAGATGAGAGATATGAGAGAGAGAAAAGAGAGATGAGAGAGAAAAGAGATAAGAGAGAAAAGAATGAGAGATGATGAGAAAGAAGATGAGAGAGAAAAGAGAAAAGTGATAGAGGGATGAGAGAAAATAGATGAGAGAAAAAAGATAAGAGAGAAAAGAGAGATGGGAAAGAAAGAGATGAGAGAGAAAAGAGAGAAAAGTGATACAGAGATGAGAGAGAGAGAGATGAGAAAAGTGAGAGAAAAGAGAGAGAGAGAAAAGAGAGAGAAAAGATGAGAGAGAAAAGACAGAGATGAGAGAAATATGAGAAAGAAAGAGATGAGAAAGAAAGAGATGAGAGAAAAGAGAGAAAAATGTGAGAGAAAAGAGAGATGGGAAAGAGAGAAAAGAGATCGAGATGAGAGAAAGAGGTGAGAGAAAAAAGAAAGATGAGAAAGAGAAATGAGAAAGAAAGAGATGAGAGAGAAAAGAGAGAAAAGTGATAGATGAAAGAGAGAAGAGATGAGAGAAAAGAGATGAGAGATGAGAAAAGTGAGAGAAAAGAGAGAGAGAGAAAAGAGAGAGAAAAGATGAGAGAGATGAGAGAGAAAAGAGAGATGAGAGAAATATGAGAAAGAAAGAGATGAGAGAGAGAGAGAGATGAGAAAGAAAGAGATGAGAGAAAAAGAGAGAGAAAAGAAAGAGAAAAGTGAGAGAAAAGAGAGATGGGAAAGAGAAAAGAGATCGAGATGAGAGAGAAAGAGATGAGAGAAAAAAAGAGATGAGAGAGAAAGAGAGAGATGAGAAAGAAAGAGATGAGAGAGAAAAGAGAGAAAAGAGATGAGAAAAGAGAGAAAAGTGGGAGAGAAAAGAGAGATGAGAAAGAGAGAGAAAAGAGATCGAGATAAGAGAGAAAGAGATGAGAGAAAAAAGAAAGAGATGAGAGAGAAGGAGAGAGAGATGAGAGATCCCGTGTTTTGTTTTCTGTGGGAAACGGTTCCATTTTGGCGTGTATAATTGAAAACCTGGGGATGAATAACCCTCCTGCTCGCGTAATAGGGGGCGGCCAGCGGTTTGTCAGGTCCCCTTAGGGTGCTTTGAGAAGGGCAAGAAAATGGATAGCATCGCTTATTTGCAAGGGAAGGAGGAGCAGCAATGGCTGGGGAGCTGCTTGGCTCTTCCCCAGGGGCTTCTTGGCAGACTAAACTGAGCCGAAATGCCAGTGCTTAGACCTGTGTAAATGTGAATCAGCGAGTGAGACTACACAGGTCAGTTGACAGCAAATGCATCTGGGGTTTATCAAGGCTGACCTTCTGTTTTCGTGATGAACAACAGGCAGGCAAGAAGATGGCATGGTCTTTGCCCGCAAAGCTCCTGCTGGAATTTGTAAACATAATCAGTGCAAGATAGTGCGTGAAAAATGCCCGGCGTGATCTCACTCGGCCTGATACAGACAGGACAATTTGTCTGACGTGTTCATCATGTGGAGAAGAAGAAGAAGGGGGAAAAAATCAAAAGTATCCAAAAAAGGAATTACACAACATTACTCAAAAGTTTTTAAAGGGAAAGTGAATTGAAACTTCAGGCTTCCCCCCCCCTCCTACTAGGAATTGTTCCAGAACAAATGAATTAAGAATATCATTGTAGGAGATGATCAGGCTGACGATGAGGGAGGGGCCCAACACGTCATCAGTCTCATGTCCCCTTGCGCCCACACGAAATCTAAGTCCAGCCCACCTTGAATTCCGTTGATCCTTATCTACTGCTAATTTGGTTTGGGGGGTTTTTTTGCATTTTTTATTTTTAAACATAAGAAACAACATTAAAAAAAATTCTCATCCATACATACTGTAGAAAGTGTATCAGTTGGTTACAAAAGGTTTTCATGCATCTCTTCCACAGTCATCAAACATAATTCATATTAACTCAAGTATTTTAACTCAGATATTTATACATGTTACCCTTATACCTCCATTTATGTTTGACTATAATTATTTAAACGTCCTTCATCATAAAATATACCCAGATTTAATACATAACCGCATCCTGGCATTTCATTTAATATTTCTAAAATCCTCCAGTGACACTGAATCCTTCTGTCCTGTTCTAGCTACTCATCCATAATATTTAGTAACAAACTTTCCTTTGGTTTCATTTTTATTTGTTGGCTTTCGGACCCAGATCCCGATCCAAGTGAGTGTCGTTGATCCAGTTGATCCAAAAAGTTTCAGCATGAGAAAACGGGTTGCTTTAAAGCAAGACCGTCCAACCTGGGCAACTTTAAGACCAGCGGATTTCAACTCCCAGAATCCCCTCACTAGCAAGGATTTACCCCAACAGATAGGAGAAGAAGGGCCAACGTAGACACGCCTTTATCCCATTGGTTGATAGGGTGACTTTATTAGTAGGTGGGGAGTATATGCAGCGGACATAATATAGCCCATTTTTTCATATGAAAA